CAAGAACTGTTCGGTGAAATTTCTATCACTACGTTTTAGTCTCGGAAACGTGCATGATGATAATATCTCATTAACTTTCAATTACCATATTAAGTGCATGATTAAAGTTTCAAAACAAAATCAAAGAAATTTTGGTCAGAAATCAGAATTAAGATGCATTGATGATGCCTAATCATTGGGTTTTTTTGGGTAATATATTTTGGTTTGACCATTTTTTATACATATTTAGTTACATGTCAAAACAGTAGGCATGTGTTCCAGAAATGTAGTTGAAAGGTCTCTATTTTAGCTTAGTATTTGATTACAAAATATGATCGTTTTGTGGAACATATTAATTTCTAATTGAAAGATGGATATAGTTTATGTCAAACCTACTGCCTTCGAAGCCTAGTTGTAATTAAGTATCCATGTAATTGATGTACAAATGTAATTCTTGTGCTCTAAGAATATGACAATTGTTTCAACCATTTCGTCCTGAGAAATTCTTGGCCTTTTGCCTCCCTGAACTTATGGTATTTTTATAAGAATCTCTTTTATTTCAGAAGAATCTCTTTTATTTATAGAAAATTCAATCAATTTTTATAGGAACCAAAAATAGTTAAATAATTACAATATGAAAATAAAACATTGACGGAGTATAAAACAATTAAGTTTTAATTTCTTTTTCAGTTTTGTATAATAAAGTTTTAAATTTTTTTTTTGTCCGCCAATCCATTTTTGGTGATACATTTGTGGGTATTATTAAATATAAAATTATTAAAATTTGAGTAAAAAAAAGAAAGAGAGTGTTTTTGGTTAAAATTATGGGATGTATTGAAATATAAAATTAATAAAATTTGAGTAAAGAGAAGAGATAGTGAATATTTTTAGAGAGATAGTATCAAAAATATCAACTATTTGATACTTTTGAAGAGAAAAAAAGTGTGTTTTTAATAATTTTATATTTAAAGAGAGTATAAAATTAATAAAAATTGAGTAAATGGATGAAAAAGAATGTATAAAGTTGAGTAAAAGGAAGAAAGAGTATGTTTTTAATAATTTTATATTTAATGATACCATGTGTGTATCATGGATAATGATGGTCTAAGTTCCATAACCGGAACTGATTATAAAAGGGCCTATGCTCTTTTACTCTAATATATATTATATCGGATATGAACTCGGATATTGATAAAATCATATGTGGTGTAGTGGTAGCTTTACTTGTACGTTCTTTTGCATATGAAGTTCGACCTCATCTTTCTTCAATGGAGGCACAATGGGCTAGTATTTTTAAACAGATTTTGTTTAAAAAAATATTATTCAAACCAAAAAAATAAAGTTAGCTAGTATTTTTCAAAATTTTGATCCAACATATTTTTAATATAAATATATTTTAATTATTAGGGTCTATTCTTTTTACCTAGAATCCCTAGTAATCGGCGTTGACTAGAAGGTAAATCCACTACTAAAAAAACAAATAATCTTTTAGAAAACAATTTAGGTTGTCGTCTAGTGATTTTAAGCGTTACGTCCATATATGGTAAAAATTATTCCATATGCGTTTAATTTGACAGTTTTGTTTTTAAGTGAATGAAGACGGTTTTAGGAGGATTTAGGTGGTTAGAAGTGTATCGGGAGGATTGGTTTAATATTCTAAAAAAATTTTAAAATTTATAAAACTAATCCTTGTTTTAAAAATTTTGAGAATAAATTTTTTTGTTGAATAAAAAGACAAAAATATCCTGATAAATTTTCGAACATTTAAAATTAAAAGAAAACTCATTTTCAAAATTAATATTAATTCATTTATTTCATATACATTTTGATATTAAAAAAGAAAAATATATATTTTAATATTATTTTATATTTAGATTTAGACATATTGAATAAATATATTATTCATAAAAGAGAGAAAAATATACACGTATTTTACAAATTTAACTTTATCATCATCACCTCACGGTTAGTTCATCATGATTTTTTTTTTGTGTCGTAGTTCATCACAATTTAAAAGTAAGTTGTAGTTCATTAAATCTGTTTGATTATGTAAGTTTGATATAATTTTATAATTTTATAATATCATTGTCAAAGTGTTTTCATAAAATAGAGATACTGACAAAAAAATGCTTTG